GAACCAATGCTATAGAAGAGCAAAGACCCAACCTTATAAGTCTATTTAAGGGGTGGTAGAAAAGACTTGGACCCTATATCTATAATGGAGATAGGAACCACAAGTATCAATAGAAGGGGTTTACGCCACAAGTATAGATATACTTGATAAATCGATAAAAGTCAGCAAGGACTTGAGAGAAATGAGAGAAATCTCACTTGATTAAATTATATGAAAGGTTTGTTTACAAATGAATAGGACTAGCCTATTTATAGAAATGAAGGGTGATAGCCGAATGGATACATGGTGGTTCAGCCAACCCTTGTGTCCCTTTAAAATGACATAATTTAAATGCTAAAAGAGATGATGTTTTGGCCTAAATGAAGGGAAACAATCCTTGGCCGAATGGGTTCTATTTTCTATTCATCTTGGCACCAAATTGAAGAGGAATGAGTGCTTGGTCAAATGGTGATGTAGCCTTTCATCTTGGCACCTAAAAGAGACCACATGCAAGGCACATGGTTGCTGGTCATATGGAACGCACATGGGGGTTCTAGGGAGCCTTGTGGTGCAGCCTTGTGCATAGGATAAAGGCTGGTCATGTGTTTCATCTTGGGCGTGCATGGGTTCTCCTCCAACCTTGCATGAGTGTGTAGCTAGCTAGCAATGCAAGGGATGGTGGTGAATGAGCTTCCTAGTCAAAACCTCCTTGGCTCTTTAGCAATTCTCCTAGCTACCTTCAGCTGCCCATTTGGTCACTTTCAGCAAACTAGCTTCATTTAGTCCACCGAGCTGAGTTTAGCTAGCCATTAGCTCTTTCAGCTGAATTGAGCTTTCCATTGTCTTTCCCGAGCTGCCATGGAGATTGTGAACTAATTGTGAGATGCCATAAAGTGCCAAATACTCCCTCAAGCTGCCCTAATACATGTCGTGCTTCCATGTACCTATATGTGCAAAGACAACAAGGTAAATCAAAGGAAATGAGCTGGAATGAATGAAATACCTTGCTCCAGTGCATGTTTGTGGACTTATGAGCTATGAATACGTGTCATGAGCTAAGAACTACATGATATAATATAGTTGAGCTAATGTATATGACTTAGGAGCTAAATTGAAGGGAAATGAGCTAAGAAATGAATGAATGAACATGCTGCCATTTCATGAATGAATTGAAACTTACCTAATGAATGCAATACTAATAAAACATGCTTGAAATAATCATCATGCATCAAGTAATATAAAGATGTGGATAGGTTAAGTTATATTTCAACTATTAAAATATTATATAACTTAGCATTGGGTGGTGTTAACTTGTCAAATGAATTGAAAGCTTCAAGACACTTAGTTAAGAGTACTTCCCTGAATTGCTTGGCTCTGGATCGAGTAATGGGACCTTGAGGCATCACTTCTGGATCTAATGAAGGCGTGACCACATCAGTCAGAAGTCTTATATTTCCCATTATAAAAATGATAATTGAAGTTGATTGGGAATATATAACATATATGTTGAGTATTTATTTTTCATAAGGGAGAGAAGAATCAACTGGATGAAAAATATAAATGAATTATCATTTTATTTAAATCCTCGTACACAGTGATTTGAACCAAAAGTTCGTAAGATAATTCATTAAAAGTTAACTGTCATAATATTTACCAACGTAACAAGAGTAATCGAATCTCGTATATCAATTGAACTTCTCTAAATTTGAATCGAAACCCTAGAAGGATAAAATGTTATAGCAAACGAATGCAAACTATGCCCGAAGCATGAAAGTTGAATTATTTCCAATGGTTAAAATTCTCGTAAATGAAAAGTAATATAAGTTGGTCATATATTGGAAGTGGGTGCTCCTGAAGAGACCTAAGACATAACTAATAGTACAACTCTAGAAGAGTTTCAGGTACCTGAAAAATGAAAATAATGAATCTTGAGAAGTTATGTCATTACAAGAAAAGAATAAAACCAAAATTAGAAAAGTTATCGACAACAATTTTATAAACAATATTTTTATAGAAGTAAAAAAATGAGGATTTTAAATTGAAATCTATCCAGGAGTATAGATGTGAAAATAATTAAGATACATAGAAAGATGATATTTAGTGAAGCTAAATCAACTTCCAAAACATGGAAAAATAGTTCACCACCAAATGTGTAATGCAAGTAAGGTATAAATGAGTAGTTGTAAGTTATACAATATGACTTGAATCATAAAAACTTTAAATTCGTAGTGGGTGCAATTATTTTATTACTCTGGCAGTTATGAAAAAAACTTTATAATACATCTAATGATTTGTGGGTCAATATATAATAATATTTATCTTTGAAGAATTAAAATGCTGGAAGCAAATAAAAATTCCTAGGAAATTTGTTCAAATATATTTGCTCAAATATTTAGATGGAATGAATCGACCTAAGTGTGTATGGTATATCTGAATCGATGAGAGCCGACTTGCCCATATGTCTTTATAAAGAAATTAAGATCAAATTATGATATTTGGAATTGGAACTCCTGAAGAGCTTTAAAATAGAATTTCTGAAGAGTTTTAAAAGTATCTTGATGGTTTAAAAAAGAATATTTGAGATAAAGAATCTTGAAATTAAGTTTTGTCTTGACCTACAGATCGAGTGCTTAAATTATATCAATTGAAAAGATGATACATTGAAGGAAATATATTTTTCTAAAGTTTAATTCTTCATGACCTTTAAAAGAGTAATAATATAAATATTTGAGGAATCCGTTCAAGTGGTAATTTGAAAAGATCCATTCATTGATGTATTGTTTACTTGAACATTTGAAGATTGTATTCAAGATTGAGTTGCAATATTCAAAGACTTTATATGAGTATTTATTTATGTGGATGTGTATCTATATCTTTTGTCTCTATCTATAAGATATGGTTTTAATATACTTAATTATTAGAACTTTAATATCATTGGAGTTAGAGTTCTATATGATATCTACTCCTTATGCTTATAAATAGGTAGTTTAAAGAAAGTATTGTATACAACTCATATTGAGATAATAATACAGTTCTCTCCTTTTATCCTTATATCTCCTCTTTGTTGTTTTTCTTATTGCTTCGTTTAGATTATTTCACAATAGTTTTTAATTTGTTTGAATGTTTCTTAAATATAATGTATAAAATTATGAATTCAGAAACTAAGATAAGTGAGCTTTGTATACTAGTTTATTATAATATGTGCAAGGGCCTACTATTATGTCTTAGAATTGTCTGATATATGATTAGATGTGTATATTGGTACGAATAACTTATGATTTTTACTAACAACATTCATATGTAAAATTCATAAGTCTCGATTGATCCAATAAGAATATTTTATGCAAGTATTGATGATTTGATCGTTTCAAAATAAAATTATGTTTAACATGTGTACATGTATGATACAAAAGTCTATGGATCTATAATGATGGTTGATATGTATATGAAATTAAAAGCATGTTAACTTTGTTAATTCGAATATAAAAATATATTTAATTTGCCATTGCACTTATATGTTACATGTATATAATATTTATATATGTTATTTTAAATCATTTTAATTTTTTAATAATTTATAATTTATAATTTACTATTTTATAGTTTTTGATTAAAGGAATCGTTGTTGTTCCTAGAGGTTACGGGTTCAAGCACTAGCAGCTGCAGCAGGTGATTGAACATTCATTGTCAAATGGTTGAGAGTATTTAGAACAGATACTACTTGTAATCATCTTAGCTTAATAAAAAAAATAGTTTGTGATATATTTAATTTTTAATTTTTAATAGTGTTTTAGTACTATTAATATTTTTAAGAATTTAAGAATTTGATTTTTTTTTTATTTTTTTTATTTTAGTATTTTTTATTTGAAATTTAAAATAATTTTATTTTTAAAAAAGTAAATAAATCATAGAACATTCTAAAAAATAATAAGCCCTCAAACTTAACCAAATAATCAATATGTCCCTCTATCATGACATAATCTAATATAAAATGTCACATCAATATTATAGACCGTCACATTAATATCATAACAATTATATCCGATTCTATTGGTCAAATAACTATATTAATCTTTTTCTCAATTTAAAGATCACATTAATAAATTCATAAGTCATATTAATTTTTTTAAAAGTAAAAACCTCAAATTAAATTAAAAATATTTAAATTTAGATAATATAATTAATCACAATTTGTCACATTCATTAATGTGTGATTAAAAAATATAAATTAAAAAGACCTTTATTTAAGAAGTGTTCCCTACTATTCCTCTTTCTGCTATGGTGGTTGTCTTTTACTTGGTTTCAAACATTTTAAAAAATAACATAGTTATTAAATTTATTTTATGTTTAATGTGACACTTACATCAGACAAATTAATATAGCCTTCTGATCAATGAAAAATAACGTTATAACAAATTAATATAGCCTTTTGATCAATAAAAATAATGTTAATTGTTATAATGTGAAGTGGTGATTTATGACGCTAACAAAATAATTCATGATAGATGATTACATGATAAAAGAATTTAATTAATTTTTATAAAAAAAATAAAAATTTATTGAAAAAATAATAAACTTTCAAATTTAAAAAAATAAAAATATTCAAATATTAAAAAAATATAACAATACTAAAAATTAAAAGAATAATAAAAAAATTATTAAGTTTTCAAAAGTTAAAAATAAAGAATATAAGCTGGAAATTATAAATTCTTAAAAGTATTTTTATATCAACAATTAAAATGAAAACGCTCAAGAAAGCTCATTGACCACACATGTAGTTTATCCAAAACATTAAATCCATAGTTGTACTTCATGCAGACGCGGGAACAGGTACGTAGTTTCTTTTTCTTTTACAATAAAGTACGAAAAGTCAAAACTTTAGCAATTTTAATTCAAAGAATGGCAATCCTGTAATAATGCAAACAACTAAGCCTACTTTAACTAACTACAACAATAAATATCAATCACCTCACCTGTCAACAAATTCAAAACACAACAAAGAAAAAATTCTCCTTGCCCAGAAAATTTTCCGAAACATGTCCGGTGGATACCCCCAACAGCCTCCCGGCTACGGCTACGGCGCCCCGTCATCCCAGCCGTACACAGCCGTTCCATACACCGCCGGCGCGTCGATCCCGCCTCAGCCGTACGGCGCTCCATACGGCGCTGCACCCTACGGTGCACCTTCTGCTCCCTATTCCGCTCCTCCCGGCGAGAAGCCTCCAAAGGACAACAAGCACCAGGCGCATGGCTACGGCGGTGCTCCTCCAGCACACGGCGGGAGCTATCCTCCCATGGGAGGCCATGCGAGTCCGTTCGCAGCTCTGGTTCCGTCGGCATTTCCGCCGGGGACAGATCCTAACATCGTGGCCTGCTTTCAAATGGCGGATCAAGATGGAAGTGGATTCATCGATGATAAGGAGTTGCAGAGAGCGCTTTCTTCGTATAATCAAAGCTTCAGTCTGAGAACTGTTCATTTGCTCATGTATCTCTTCACTAATACTAACACCAGGAAGATCGGTCAGTTTCCTTTTTCATACATCGTACTTCTTTCACTGCTTTTTTCCCCCAATTGCAACCCAATTGCAACTCCATCATTAGGTTAATTTTACAAAAAAAGGGAACACCGGAATATAGTAGCGTAAATTCTATTTGTACAAACAAAAATGACTTAAACAACCCTTTCGTGTACCATCATAGGTTATGCCACTTGTTACTAAGATTTGACCAGTAGTGCATGGGTATTTGGTCCATTTAAAGTGAGTTAGGAAAATATTTTCAGATAACGTGGGTAATTGTTGGGGTTTTATTAATAATTAATTAACTAGTTGATTCATTTTTGTTTATTGCGGGCTTCATATTTGAATCTTTTAATATTTGAATTGTTGAACTGCATCGTACTTTTTTTTGGTTCAAAATCAGTCATTATATTCAATAAATTATATATATTTAAGTGTGGGGGCATTATTTCATGTCAGATGCCTTTTATATACTATGATAAACTATGTGTTTAGTCATCCAACTATCATTTTAGTTCTGTTTTGGTCACCAAACTATTATTTTCTTCAAAATTCACACCTAAAGTTACGATTTGGTCCTCCGCCATTAGAAAAATAATAATGATAAGTAAATGTCATGTCATCATTGAAAAAAATAAAAATATTCACATCAAGAATTATGTTTATTTTTAAACAGTTGATGACCAAAATGTAACATTAGGAATATGTAATTACTGTTTAAGTGTGTTTGGAAAGCCTCGTCTAAGCTTAATTATAGAATTGTGGTGTGTAATTGGAGGCCCATCTTCTTTAATTCTTAGGGGATATGTAATTACACTCATGAATTTTATAATTAATATTATTTTAGAATAAAAACTTATATAAGTCTAATTACAATTTCTACTACTAAACATTACATAGAGAATTACAATAATTATATTTTTCCATTCAAATATATCCAAGGAGCTAGAATTTTTTGTAAACATGCAAATGTAATTTACTTCAAATGATTTTTTTTAATTTCCTCGTCTAGTCCTATATATGATATAGATTAACATACCCTGTTTTATCAGCATTTTAACTAGTCTCCCATGGAATTTTCTGAATGCAGGTCCGAAGGAGTTCATTTCTTTGTTCTATAGTCTTCAGAATTGGAGGGTAATTTACTTCCTGTTATCTCTTATAAAAAATTGCTTGTCTTGATTGTTTTGTTCAGCTAAAAAAAGGGGTTTGCTGCAGGCCATCTTTGAGAGATTCGATCGGGATAGGAGTGGAAAAATCGATGCCAATGAACTCAGAGAAGCACTTTTGAATCTAGGATTTGCAGTTTCTCCGGTGGTGTTGGATTTGCTTGTCTCAAAGTTTGATAAAACTGGAGGCAAATTCAAGGCCATTGAATATGACAACTTCATTGAGTACGATCACTGTTTATTGCATTAAATTTAATTACTCGTCGTCATATAATCATGTTCAGTTAATGTATATAAACATCAAACTAATCTATCTTTTTTCTTTCCTTCTTTTTGGATGCAGGTGCTGCCTTACAGTTAAAGTAAGCTCTCTTATTCCTACTTTATCTCTTCATCTAACTCGATGGGTGTTTGATTTTTAATCTATGCTCGGCTCTTGGTTTGTTCGTGTAGGGACTAACTGAGAAGTTCAAGGAGAAGGACACTATGTACAGTGGTAACGCGACGTTTACTTATGAAGCCTTTATGCTCACCGTTCTGCCATTCCTGATTGCATAAATCAATGAATTATGAAGGCAAAACGGTGTGTTTGCTGTGATTTCCTTTGGTGTTCTGTTTTTTGTTGCAATATATTAACATATAGCTAATAAAAAGAAGGGTTTAGTATGTATTATCACAGTTTTGAAGTTTATTCCAATGACCAGTTTATGCTGTTTTAATGATTTCTTGTTGCTCGTGATGAGTTTTTAGTTTTGAGTGTTGTGAATTTCATTGTGTTGCTATTTCTTACTTCTTTGCCTTTCTTTATACGATCAATCAACCAATTGACTTCGTAAAACAATTGGGGAGAAAGTACTGCAACCATTGCCATTGTTCAACCGTGATCATGTATAAGAAAAAGCTTCAAGATATGACGTTATTGAAAAAATATATAAAAAAAGGCAAATTACACATTTAGTACTTAAATTACTACTTTTGTTCCGTTTTAATAGTCAAAATTTGCTTTTTAATGATGCACCTAAAATCTTGGTCATAAGCTCCAAGCAAGATTTCCCCCATTAACTCACATCTAGGTTGACATCCCAAGTTCATCAATAATCAGAACAGTTATTTTACCAAGACCATACTCTTCTTCAATTTCATTAATAGCTCTCGCAAAGAACTGTATGATTTCAAAGTCCAAGCAAGTACTTCCAAACTTCAATATATTACTTCAGTATATAATAATGATAATATCCATGTCCCAACCAAATAAAACACGGAGCAAACCCAAACTTGAGAGTCTTACTTGGCACCTCTGGCATAAACTTCGAGAAAATTGGGATCAAGAGCAGAAGCCATCAGACAGTCTGCCAAAGCTTCCCTCATCCTTCCGAGAGATATCCGAGTGGCTGCACGGTTGCTATAGCAAAGCACAAGAGGTTTGATGGAGCACCGCAAAGTTTCATTTGAGGGGACAGAATTGATCCCCCGTGTGTAGAATTCCTCAGCTTTAGACAGATTATCATTTCTATAAGCCTGATTTCCTCTGATACAAAATCAAATCTTCAACATAAAAATATAATCCAATTTCTCAGAGCAATATTAATGAAAATTGAATCACATCAGAAAAGAATAGCCCAGAGAACTCATCATAGACATATGGCAATCAATCATAAAGATACCTCAGTCGCCACATTTCGCAGGCTTCATCGACAGAAACAGTATTTGAGTTAGACCCTTGATTGAAATTTTTATTCTCCTCTTTGCTATGATATGTAGGTTTATCTTTTTGTTCAGACTGTACTGGATCACAATGTGAAAACTGGACAGAGGAATACCCTTCTTTAACATTTGAGCTTGGAGTTATAATAAACGAAGCATTCCCAGTTTTCACCTTATTTTTCTTTCGAAGTATATGCTTTCTGAATGATGAGCTACCTTGCCCAGAAGCTGATGTCACGGAAAAGGTAAAACTTCTCTCATCTTCCACACCTGAACCAGAACAAGAGTTTGCTGTGTGCTTACTTTCCTGGGCCCCATTGAGGTCTCTTACCCCATCAACACTAGTGCATCTGTTATTGCATAACCGATCAGAGTTGAAAGTAGTGGATGCAGTTTCTGCTTCACAAACAGACTCTCTTGAAGGACCATCAACAAAAATTCTTTCATGATCATACCCAAAATTCTCTTCCTTTGGCTCACTGTATTTCTGTTCAGCTTCGGACATCCTGAGGGTTGATGGGCGTAATGCAGAGGGAATAAAATTGTATTCTAATGGAGAGGCCTCTTCCGATGCCTGAAACGTTCCCTTTGATGATAGATCAGCTTCAGTAGTTTCTTGGTAAGGAGAAACATCCATGGGTGAACAACATTCAGAGGAGTCTTGAATTACTTGAGAAAGCGACAACTGATGACTTTAGGAGTAAGGTTTTGTCTAATACAAGTTTTGAAACTACAAACTCAAAAAATACAGATATGTTATGGAAAAATATGGCAAATTCTATCAGAGATGTTGGCAAAAATACCCTTGAGTTGTCGACGGGGAAGGCCAAGGAACATAAAGAATCGTGGTGGTGGAACGACGAAGTCCAAACTAAGGTGAAGACAAAACAAACTTGCTTCAAGGAGTTTCTACAATGCAATGACGACGAAGAAAGGTCGAGAGCTAAACAAAGATACCAGGAGGCAAAGCGGGAAGCCAAGAAAACGGTAGCTAAAGCAAAGGATAAGGCATACGAGGAAATGTACAAGAGATTAGACACCAAGGAAGGACAAAATGGCATCTTCAGACTTGCAAAATCTAGGGAGATTAGGAAAAAGGATCTAGGTAACATTAGCTTTATTAAGGACAACAATGGTGTTCTTTTAGCGAAAGATCACGATATTAAGAGGGTTTGGGGTAGTTACTTCTTTGGCTTATTTAATGACGGTGCCTCTCCATGTAGAGATAGTATCGTTGATGGGTTAGCCGACTATCATACTACGATCAATGACTGCCCTACAAGCAGGATTGGGTTTGAGGAAGTCAAAATGGCTCTTAGAAAGATGGGAATGGACAAAGCTGTCGGTCCTGATCAAATTCCTATCACTGTGTGGTTGGCCCTAGGAGAAGAGGGAGTTAAGTGGTTGACCAACATCTTTAATATTATTTTAGAGACTGCCAAGATGCCAGAGGAGTGGAGAGAGTCTACGGTGATACCAATCTATAAAAATAAAGGAGATCCCCAACGTTGTGGTAACTACAGAGGTATTAAACTCCTCAGCCATACCATGAAGCTATGGGAAAGGGTGATAGAGGCTAGGTTGAGACAAGTTACTAGGGTTTCGGAAAACCAATTTGGCTTTATGCCAGGCAGGTCTACCACGGAGGCGATTCATCTACTTCGACGGCTTATGGAGAAATATAGGGAAAAGTCTAGAGATCTTCACATGACGTTCATTGACCTTGAGAAGGCTTATGATAGTGTTCCCCGCGATACGATCTGGAAGACTTTGGAAACGAGACGGATCCCAACTGCTTATATCCGGGCGATTCGTGATATGTACTGTAGATCTACTACTTACGTCAGGACTACAGTTGGCGACACCGAGGCATTCCCGGTGGAAATCGGACTCCACCAGGGTCGGCTCTTAGCCCTTACCTCTTCGCCTTGATTATGGACGACATCTATTGTGCGACACCAGACGGTGTACCATGGTGTATGCTTTTCGCTGACGACATTGTCTTAGTTGCTGAAACAAAATCTGAGTTGAATAGTAGACTGGCTACCTGGAAGACTGCTTTGGAAGAAAAAGGTTTAAGGATCAATATTGAAAAGACAGAGTATTTATGTTCAAACTTCAATGGGAACCAAAATGATGAAGATGTAGAAGTATGCATAGAAGGACACGTTCTCCCCTCAAAGGATTGTTTCAAGTACCTAGGGTCTATGATACATAAAGATGGGGTGTAGATGATGACGTTACACACCGTATAAAGGCGGGATGGCTAAAGTGGAGGGCCGCTACTGGAGTTCTGTGTGACAAGAAGGTCCCTCTAAAACTTAAGGGAAAATTTTATAGAATGGCAATAAGACCAGCGCTGTTATATGGATCAGAATGTTGGGCAACCAAGAAGGATCACGTAAGGAGGATTGAGGCCGCAGAAATGAGAATGCTTCGATGGACATGTGGTAGGACTCTGAGGGATATGACGACAAACTCTGCTATTAGGATGTCCTTGGGGGTGGTGTCTGTTTCCGAAAAATTGAGGGAGGGAAGACTACGGTGGTTTGGGCATGTCCTTAGGCGACTACCGTCGGATGCGGTCAGGAGGGTAGAGTCGATTACAGTCGACGGTGCCAAAAGGAAAGGACGACCAAGGCGAAAGTGGGAAGACTGCGTGAGATCTGATTTGAGGGATTTAGCCCTTACCGAAGACATGACCTCTGATAGGAAAATATGGAGGCTAAAGACTAGGGTAGTCGAGTAGTGTGGGTCACATCTATAGGGTGTATCATCTCTGTCTTCTTTTAATGTTTTTGTAGTATTTTCCATGACTTATACTTTTTATACGTTTCTGTTATTGGTATTTATGAAGGATTAGAACTGGGCTTGCTAACGTTGATTTCTGTGTATCATTCTCTTCATGTTTCCTCTTTTAAATTTAGCCGGATCTTATGTTTCTGTCTATATGCAGAGATTCTTTCGCAGGGATTATTATGCAGGGATTAATTCCCGTTACAGACGCACATATGGTTTTAATGACTGCATATGAATACTGTTTAGCTATGTATTTATGTATTTATTTATACATGCATTGCATTTTATCTAAATTTTTAATTTTTCTGACTGCCGGAGATCTTCCACGGAAGCTACTCTCAACCTGGCGTTGGGGGTAGCCTACTACCCTACCTCCCCCTTACCCCATACATATGGGAATTGGGTTTTGTTGTTGTTGTTGTTGTTGCTTTCTTTTAGCACATGCTGTTGCTTGGACCAAAGCTTATGCAGATAAGATTTCTTGGATTTGCCTCTCATTTTATTTACTCTTTTTTCTTTAGTTAAGCCACTTTTTAGACCAATGTCTAACTTCTCATCCACTTCGGTAAATAGATGTGCTTTGAAGGAAGAAAGATCACACTCAGGTGTTTTAAAATCACTGGACGAAGTCCCCAGTTGATCTAGATTGCCAGTTGAACAACTTTCATTGTTCTTTTCTATTCCAACCGTTGCTAAGTCAATTGCATTACTTACTTGTGAGTTGAGATTGAGAGATGCACAGGCATCGGTCTTATTTAGACCTACATCATCTTTTACATGACCTTGGAAAGACTTTTCAATATTAAAGCTATTATAAGATACAGCATCATTCACATTACCATTGTTGGACCAATCTTGAGAAGGACCACCCTCTGGAGCATTTTTCAAAGGACTGGGTACCTTTTCACAGCTGCCAAAAACAAATATGGTCTCAGAATATTGAGTTTGCACCAGATGAACTACCAGCATCATTGCTATTTACAGAAACATTCTTAGACCAACTATTGTCAACAGAAACTCCAAAATTTCCACTGCTTGATTTGATTCCATCTTCGCATTCGTTAGAAAAGGAACCTTTACCGCTAGTGGCACCAAAAACAAAGAAATCATTAACACAATCCTCAACACAGCTCTTACGTCCATTAACATTGAAATTAACTGCAGCAGGTTCCATTTTCCGGGACTCTGTTTCACCCTCCATATTCATCTTCCCAAAATAACCAGAAACTTGTTGTCGAAAGCTTTTGCCAGATTCTCCCCTTTCCGAATGAAATGAGGACGAATCATGGAGATTAGGCCCAAATATGGTTTCCCCAGCAAAAACGGTAGGCTCAATCCTATCAGAATTGGAACATAAATTTGAATCTCTTTGACTAGAACCGAACACAAAACCAGCATCACTACAATCTGGCTCATTGAGAGACTTATTAAACTTTACCTTCCCTGAACCCCAATTAGATTCTAAACCACTCCTGGCCACACCAAAAGAATAATCTAAATTACTATCTTTACCACCCTGGGAACCAGTCTCTACTTTCACTTTCCCCATACAACCATCAAAACTCACTGCATAATCACTGGATTTCCCCTTTCCCGGATTTTATTTTACCCCTCCATCACTCCCATTGGCACCAAAAACAAAACCAAAATTTTCAGAGATCAATTTCTTCATGCCGGCACCCAGATTGGCTTCAAATACAAAACCATCATTTTCATTCTCAATCTCAACATTTCCACTAAAGTCTCTATCACTTCCATTATTAAGACCTAATACAAACCTTGAATTACTATTGTTATTATCCTTGTTAACTATATTCAAACCATCTAAAAGGCTGGATGATGATAGATTACCACTTAGCTTGACCGACCCCAGCCCTGAACGGATTGCTTAAACGGGTTGAAATCTGACCCGACTTCCCCCAGTCCGCCTCTCACCTTCCCATTCAACGGCTTCCTCACCTTGGACAGCCTTACCCGTGGCCGAACCGGCGCAGCTGACTTCGGATTGGATCCGTTCCTGAAAGCAGAGCCGAACCCGCAATCGAACTCCCCATCACTATCAAAGATCGGGGAAGTTGATGAATTCATTTGGGAAATGGCTGGTTCGAGGAAATGCAGTGAAGTTATGGGGTATTGCATTAGCGTTTTGAGGGGCGTTGGAGGGTTTAGTGTTGGAAGAGTAGGTATCCAGTGATCGAGTTTCGACGGCGGCCGGAGACATATAGAAGAGAGAATAATTGTTGGGTTTGGTGAAATTTTAAGGTTTTGGTTTATCAAAAATTTTAAAAAACAAAATCGTCCTGTGGTAGGGTATAGAGCGGTGTAAGGGCTTGCATAATTTCATTCGAATTTTTTGATTTTAAAACATCGTCTCTCTGCTATAAATACATATTCCCCCTAAAACTCTCTCACAACTCCCTCTCAACCAAAAAACTACTACAATAATCCTCTTAACCAGTAAAAAACATCCGGTAATTCTTTTATATTTTATTCAGAAGTTCGTTCGATCTTTCGTTATAAGGTGATTTTTTTATAATATTTTTTATAATTATATATGATTATTTGAAAAAAAAATATTGTGTTAATTGTTTTCAATTTATTTTTGTGGTTGTAAAATTGGAAAGTAGGAGCGTACGTCGAAATATTTTTGTAGATACGGTAATCATATAAAAATTAAATTATTTAAATTATTTACGTTTATGTGTAAAATTATTTACATTTATGTGTAAAAATTTTATTGTGTTATATTTTCGTTCATATATTATTTATTTAGTTAGGTTTGCTTCAATTGTTTTTTTGCAGACATAATATTGTCGCACTTTCAAACTCTAAGAATGATGCGAATTTGAGTTATTGTTTATTATGATGGAGAAATTT